ACTTTAGTGCAAAAAAATCCTATAAATATACCTGTTCCTGTTAATAGCCCCAGTGTTGACCTCTAGAGAGATTGTAAGTATATATACCTCTTCACTAGACTAGTGTCTGTGTGGGGCAAAAGCGTACCTGTTTGTGACAGTAAAAAACGTCTGTTTGTGGCAGTCCATAGCGTCTGTTTGTGACAGTTAATAATGTCTGTTTGTGGCAGTCCATAGCGTCTGTTTGTTAGAGTCCATAGCGTACATGTTTATATCAGTTAATAACGTCTGTTTGTGACAGTCCATAATGTCTGTTTGTTACAGTCCATAGCAGCTGTTTGTGACAGTCCATAGCGTACATGTTTATGACAGTTAATAGCATACACCTGTTTGTGACAGTCCATAGCGGCTGTTTGTGGCAGTCCATAGCGTCTGTTTGTGACAGTTAATAATGTCTGTTTGTGGCAGTCCATAGGGTCTGTTTGTTACAGTCGATAGCGTACATGTTTATAACAGTTAATAATGTCTGTTTGTGACAGTCCATAATGTCTGTTTGTTACAGTCCATAGCAGCTGTTTGTGACAGTCCATAGCGTACATGTTTATGACAGTTAATAGCATACACCTGTTTGTGACAGTCCATAGCGGGTGTTTGTGACAGTCCACAGCGTACATGTTTATGACAGTTAATAACAACTGTTTGTGACAGTCCATAGCGGCTCTTTGTGACAGTCCATAGCAGCTGTTTGTGACAGTTAATAGCATCTGTTTGTGACAGTCTATAGCGTACATGTTTATGACAGTTAATAACGTCTGTTTGTGACAGTCCATAGGGTCTGTTTGTTACAGTCCATAGCGTCTGTTTGTTACAGTCCATAGCGGCTGTTTATGACAGTCCATAGTGTCTGTTTGTTACAGTCCATAGCGTCTGTTTTTTACAGTCCATAGCGGCTGTTTATGACAGTTAATAGCATCTGTTTGTGACAGTCCATAGCAGCTGTTTGTGACAGTCCATAGTGTCTGATTGTGACAGTCCATAGTGTCTGATTGTGACAGTCCATAGTGTCTGTTGTCCATAGTGTCTGTTTGTGACAGTCCATAGTGTCTGATTGTGACAGTCCAAAGCGTCTGTTTGTGACGGTCCATAGATGCTGTTTGTGACAGTCCATAGCGTACATATTTGTGACAGTCCATAGCGACTGTTTGTGACAGTCCATAGTGTCTGATTGTGACAGTCCATAGCGGCTGTTTGTGACAGTCCATAGTGTCTGTTTGTGACAGTCCATAGCAGCTGTTTGTGACAGTCCATAGTGGCTGTTTGTGACAGTCCATAGTGTCTGTTTGTGATAGTCCATAGTGGCTGTTTGTGACAGTCAATAGTGTCTGTTTGTGACAGTCAATAGAGTCTTTTTGTGACAGTCCCTAGCGACTGCTTGTGACAGTCCATAGCATCTGTTTGTGACAGTCAATAGTGTCTTTTTGTGACAGTCAATAGAGTCTGTTTGTGACAGTCCATAGTGTCTGTTTGTGACAGTCAACAGAGTCTGTTTATGACAGTCCATAGTGTCTGTTTGTGACAGTCCATAGTGTCTGTTTGTGACAGTCAATAGAGTCTGTTTGTGACAGTCCATAGTGTCTGCTTGTGACAGTCCATAGTGTCTGCTTGTGACAGTCCATAGTGTCTGTTTGTGACAGTCCATAGTGGCTGTTTGTGACAGTCCATAGTGTATGTTTGTGACAGTCCATAGTGTCTGTTTGTGACAGTTCATAGTGTCTGTTTGTGACAGTCCATAGTGTCTGTAGTCCATAGTGTCTGTTTGTGACAGTCCATAGTGTCTGTTTGTGACAGTCCATAGTGTCTGTTTGTGACAGTCCATAGTGTCTGTTTGTGACAGTCCATAGTGTCTGTTTGTGACAGTCCATAGTGTCTGTTTGTGACAGTCCATAGTGTCTGTTTGTGACAGTCCATAGTGTCTGTTTGTGACAGTCCATAGTGTCTGTTTGTGACAGTCCATAGTGTCTGTTTGTGACAGTCCATAGTGTCTGTTTGTGACAGTCCATAGTGTCTGCTTGTGACAGTCCATAGTGTCTGCTTGTGACAGTCCATAGTGTCTGTTTGTGACAGTCCATAGTGGCTGTTTGTGACAGTCCATAGTGTCTGTTTGTGACAGTCCATAGTGTCTGTTTGTGACAGTTCATAGTGTCTGTTTGTGACAGTCCATAGTGTCTGTAGTCCATAGTGTCTGTTTGTGACAGTCCATAGTGTCTGTTTGTGACAGTCCATTGTGACTGTCACAAACAGGTGTACACCATTGACAGTCACAAACATACCATAACGACAGACTCATAATTCTAGCTGTTAAATGAAGCGTTTCATCCCAAAAGGGCTCTGCCAAAAAATGAAAAGGTAGCTTATAGAGAGTGATTTAAGATACATGTACTGAAGGGGTTTGAAGAAATTTTAAGCGGATTTTTTTAATCAGATTATAAAATTCCACCCCCTACTTTTTATTGTTATCCATAATAATTTCCCTTTAAGTATTATTTCAATTAATATAATTTTGACAATATCCATAACTTTGCTCATTTTCTAATACAAGAATTTACCAGACCATATCTGAACTGACAGAATGATTACAATTTTAAATATAGGATCTGTCATATATATAATTTATATAAATAGGAAATGAACACTTAATTAGTCTCGGTATTTAAAACTCATTTAAATTCTTTAAAATCTTTTGAATATTGACACAAAATAATATAAGTCTGAATATGAGTGTTGAAATGTATCCCCATGTTTGATACCCATAGTAGGGTTGACAAAGGATTTCAAATCCTGCACTATCTGAGATAAAAAGACCCCCCATTTTTAATAAATCACTGAGAAATGTATATAGGAATATATTATTGATGTGCATGCTATTATACATTAGTGGGTTTTTTCACAACACATTTAAGAAAACTGGAGCCTAGCTATTGCTAGCACAACAGTAATCCATATAGGTGCTTTATTCACTTTATCGGTTTAAGTTTTCTGTTGTTTCTATAAACCTGCCACAGAGATTAAAGTTGGGGTCAAATCTGATGTTATTGTTTAGCAGCCCAAATGTGCACATGATCCATGGTTATTTCAAAGCTACGGGTAACTGAGGGAGGTATTGTGGTAGGTACACAGGTGTACAATATGTAACCCTTAATCCCAGTGATCAACAATTCAATTAAACTTGTACAGGTATGCTTAAACGTTAACACTTTCTATGGTGCATAATGCTATGTTTAAAATTAGCATAAATTGAAGGTTCAAAGCGGACTTTTTGATTGAAGCTTCCCTTGACTTACCTTGACAGTTTTTAATTCCAAGTACATGTACATGATTTGAATTTCAGCGAATCAAGGTCAATCAGCTGTGACAAATAGCAAAGATAATCCAGCAGATTTTAAGACTGGAGTAACAACTGGATTTAGTTTTGTCAAACTAAAATGAACGCTCTATTAAATTAAAAAAATAAAATAATACAGAGCTCCTTTTTCACCTTTTTTCAGGGCTGCTCAAGGGATGAATATTTTATTTGGTAAAAACATATGTTGACAACAACTACAACATTACCCAAAATATAATGATTTCGTACTAATTTTAGCCATTTCATACAACACATGCCATAAAACATGTAAATAAATAAAGCTCAGTGGATTTAATTGTGCTTTGGGGAAGAATGCGAGACTTTTATTGCAGTACTTATATTGTAAGCAAATTATGTCCAGACAGAATAATATTCACCTCATATTGATCAGCTATCAATAAGAGTAGATTGTTTCTGTAAATCAGTCGATCTATACAATAACCTAATATCTGTCAGTAAGAGTAGATTGTTTCTGTAAATCAGTCTATCTATAGTCATCTGAGCAGGTGTGAAGTTTTAAATTCTAGGTCTACCACATTCGATCTTATTCATTATGAAACCCCTCAAACAATGGGCCTGTTTATGGCTGATAATTAGAGGCTATCAGGGGCACTGAACAACACTCCTATCAGGGGGCCATCTACCATATCAGGTTCCCACCACAAACTCAAGTATACATTTAATAAAGTTCACCTCATAAATCAAATACATTGATACTTTCAATACACAAATAGTCGAGGTTGGAATTTAAATTTCCTCCCATATAAACAACAAGGTTGATACACTTTATCTTTGTAGCAGCAGTCACAAGGAAGATTCATGGTTGGGTAGCAAATCAGTAAAGACCCTCTGCTAGTATATATAATGTTGTGTGTCGTCTATCAATGTAGGGTGTTTTTAAGACCAGGATCTAACATTAAATCTTCAATAAGTCTGTGTGAATGTTATTGGTCTTACTGAATGACCTTCACAAAAAAACATCTGAAACCAGAAGTTAATGTCTTACATGTAAAATATTTACGTATCTGCATGTTGTACATCATCCTTCACTACAATTAACATGTTAATTTGTCATAGTTACTTGATCGAATAACAACAGTTGTTTAAAAAAACACAGGTCTAATAAGCTACTTAAGCTTGTGAATGTGCTAGTAATCTTTTGAAAGGGAGGTAACCCAAGGCTATTGTTTGTTTGCGCGGCCAATTTTCCATTAAGAACTACAATACAACACAATACTGAAACATGTATCACTAAGTTTTGATTTAAAGTATTATTTTTAAGTAACAATTAACTTCTTTTAGACAGCTTATTTCCAAGCTGCAGAAATGTCATTTGGTGTCAAGTTTTCTTTCTTCCAGCATTTTACACTTGCTCAAATATTTTCAGGTAAGATGGAAGTTATATCAAATTAAATCCTTCCCCATAAAAAAGCAATGAGCAATTTCAAAAACTGATGCATTATGTACCTACCTTTGCTGGTCTGCTCTGGTAACGTTGAGAAATACTTACCATTTCCTTTAAATTCCCAAAACACTGTTTTGCACTGAAATATGTATATATCCAAACGATGGAATGATAGAAACCACACTAAGGATGGGATTTATTTGACAATTTTACCTTGTCTTTGATAAACCGATCGATCTCCTCAAGCGGTTTACCGTAGTAGTCTGTCCGGAATACGTCCGCCAGGTCCGGGGGAAGGAGCTCTCCCTCCTTTAGTTTCGGATCACTTTCCTTCTTCGCTTCTTCCTCATCGTCGTCGAACTTGAGCTCTCCGTCCACAAGATGAGCTTCGGCGATACCTCCAGTTTTTTCTTCCTTCTTTCGTTTATCCTCCTCCTTTTGAAGTTGGTTGCCCCAAGAATCTTCCGTGTACAATCGAAACTTAATCCTCGTGGACACGTCGCTGACAGCAGACGACGGTCGCGAACAAGACAGCACACTTTTGGTATCGTTCGCATCCGCCGACACAGCTGGAGCCACGCCATTCTCGTAGGGACTAAGATGATTTTTATCATCATTTCCCTTCATTTCAGTCATTTATCCAACTTTAAGTGAACACACTGTTCTCGGATGTCGCCAAATATAATCCGTTTGAAATTTGCGGAAGCACACAGGATAAGCATTTAAGCTGGGTAGAGAAAAACGCGAGGTGCGGTTCCACCTCATACTCAAGTCATTGTGTGTCTCTTAGACATCAATAGGTAATTCTGCAACGAAAAAAGTAAACTTAAGACAAGAGTATTGGAAACGTAATCGTTCACAACGTAACATGCTCTCCGGTCAGAAAAGTCTAATTCATTTCACCAGACACGCTTGAAGAGAATTGGGTTTCAAAGAAAATTATCCATCTTAAGCAAATGATATGTTTTAATCTGTAAATCCATCATTAAATTATTACATATGAGGCTAATCTTTAAACGAAATGAGGTTTTTCGTGATATCAAAATAAATGTATTAGTATACATTTGGTAGACAACTTTCGCCCAGGCAGTTGTTCCCTAGTAGGAACACTAGTAGGAAAAACACATGAATACAACAAAACAAACTACGTAATTGATCTGTCAAAATGGTGCCAATAAAATAGTACGCTGAACCTCGTAAACAGGCCTCCGTCTACAGACTACAAGTCGTCCTGAGAGGACAATCCCAGAGCAGCTTCAAAACCGACATACAACACTCGTATTAAAACCAACACTATTTGGAATTTGAAACGTCGATCACGTCCTTGAAAATCGTAAATCAATGCAAGGAAGTCGAAGAGGTACCATTATTCAATGAATAAATCCATACTAGGTCAGTTATGTGCACGATATTGAATTTCTAGGTTATTTCGTCGTCTCCCTCCCTTCAACCTGTGTATGCTTGTTCTTATGAAACAATTAGTACAAAATAAGTCAAAATTAATCTTAGAAGAGTCGCCTTTCTAACGTAGCCGATTAAAATATTTTACTTTCCAAAATGTTGATATGGGTATATATTTCAGTTGTAAGACAATCAACCCTGAATAGTTTAAGTAAAAATATATGAAAAAGAGAGACCAAAATATTTCCCGAATGTTACAATACATACTGTATATAAAACATCAGAGTAACTGACTTCTCACTACAAAAGAAAATAATTCCTATTTTTTCCAAAGCGAATTTGGAACTGTTCCAAATATCTTTATATGTAATTTAAAACATTTTCTCACATTAAACGGCTATTTTACAGTAGAGGAATACACACTTTGACCTCTATGAAATATTCAAGCTAATAATTCACAGCAGAGCACTGACATGTTGATAAAATATTACAATAGAATACTAAACTCATACAACCTCAGTTCATTATTATCTCTATCAAATTGAAATTATAATAAAATATATTTGAAAATAGGACCGGTGTGTTTTACCACCCAAGAAAACTCCAAACCTTCGCGAGCAGTTCCATTGATACTCTCAACAAACCAACATTTTCTGGATAACCAGACACATCCAGAAAACGACAGAGTCCAACAAAGAAATATATTAATTTCTCAAAAGAAACACACAAAATGTCTGCGACTATCCATCGAACAATAAGCTTCCTATTTCACAACATACCCGAACCAGCGCTGAAAAGCACCAAGTCGGTTTCCACTCGATACCTACAAGCAATATTGACTTAATCCCTTGTGCTTTCTTCTTAGGATCGTTAATTGGAATGTGACGTCACATATAGTCCGACACTGGTCCTCGCTCTAAAGCAATCCCTACAAACTGTAACACTTCGGAGTTCCTTTCCGTCCGGGAAAAAAACTCTCCACAACAACGTTAACACAAAACAACAAACGTGAAGAAATTTCTCCGTACTTCACCGACAGTTATTAGTAGCTAGCTGCCTGGCTTATCGTGACCGACCCACCACTGACAAACGAATTGTTCCTATTGTGTCAAACCCGCCAGGTTTTGTCCGGTGTTTAGTATATCAAGTTGTGTGTTTCACAATAAGCTGGCTTTGAGACGTTTAATAGAGGGTTTAGGCTTGTCGAACCCCGAGCCCTAGCGTTGGACACGTCATACAAAGTGTATATAAAATGTAATGCTCCACCGAGCACGTCCCGAGCCAGTTATTCTTCTATATCATACACATGCAATAATCATGTATTGCTTTTGGATACCAAAGATTTACGAAATACTGTTATGATCTGGTATTAAATGCTCGGCTAGATATCTACAGGTCAAACCTAAGAGGTATGGACTATATATAAATGGTGTATATATAATTCCGTATACATATGTATGTAGGGTTCTTAACAAATATTAAGAAGGTCATTTAACAGAGCTCTATTTACTTGTCATATGTAATCCAACAAATAAAAGACCGAGAACCTGTAAGGATAGCGTGACAACTGTCACTGTGGTTGCCCACCTAAATGTTCTCAATTAAGTTTGTAAGTCATTTTTATGGACGTTTGTCATTCAACATTGGATTACCTGTACACGAGTAAAGGGCTCAAGCTTTATTACACGTCTACGATTGTAATTACTAAACCTACCTGATTTCAACTTTTCATATAATAGGTCTTTTCGGTTAAAAGACTTACAAAAGTACGCAAAAAATAATAATAAAAAAAATGGATCGGAAACATGTTAAACGATCTGCTCTTATTTTTGTCTTTGATGCAAACATATAGCTGCATTAAGGTTCCATCCATTGTTATCTGAAACAAGAGTTATACTTTAATATTTCAAGCAGTATTACAAAGTAACACGTTGTGCGCTAATATAGACGTACTATAACCCCAATGTCCGATGCACTATTTTGTGTGTATTTTCAGCGTTTTGTTTTCACCGCTGGGTCAGAGTCGCTGCCGATGAACCTCAAAGTCTTGAGGGAACCATTAACCCAGTAATCAATTTACTACAGCAGACACAATAAAAAATATAAAGTGTCCACACTAGATCACGCGGGCTCAGCAACAAACCCCTGCCTTATTTTCCTATTCGTCTGAGAACACACAAATGTATCAGATTTCCAAATGAGAGCATGATGGCAAACATAAAACCTGTCCATAATCTTTAATCAACCCGCATCTTTGAAAACTGTATTGTCCGTAAACAGTCGACAGCTACATTGTATCACGGATATCAGGATATTTGGAGCAAGCTCTTGACTACCCAATCAGATGCGACGGGTGAACAACATATGTTCGGGAAGCCTGGATGTTACTATCTAGAAAGGAGAAGTCCACGTAGGAAATTCGAAATCGTCATTCTTATCTTACTGCTTAGCAGTAAGCTATCCCTGTTGGTAATGTTGTAAGTAAAGGTCGAGGAAAGCAACTGAAGAGTCTGCAGTGTTCTTGGTTTTAAGCTCAGTAGGATATATACAATCAACGTGGTCCATACATTTCACGTTATTTAAAGTAATCGTTTATTTGATACATATGAATGTGAAATTGAAGGACTTGGTTAAAGGTTTTGGTATCAGTCATGATAAAGTCTTATATTTAACCTTATATAAGTCAAAAATGCGGGCCAGATGCGGGCGCATTTTTTCCCATAAGAATGCTCTGTTTGCTTGAAACGAAAACAAAGACAGGGTCAATCAAGAACTTAATCATTCCATTTCGACCTTTTTAATCTTTTTCACAAAATATTTACCAATATAGTTTACGATCATATATTTATATCGCTCTTGTCTTTCTTGAAGAAGAAAGGTTTCATTATAACGACGGCGTTCAGTTTAGTATGAAGTATATAGTAAGGTAAAGAGCATAAAAAATCCCATTCTGATAAAACAATCAAATTCAGACAGGGACATTGAAGATTGATCAAAGTTCACATTTCGTTATTTCATTTCTTGCGTAAAAAGTATGAAAATCCACTGTTACCATGATTTAATGATATTAAGAATGGTAGTAAGAAGTCTTGAGCATGGTTTGGATCAAAGATTGTTATTCAGAAGCTGATTTGCTGGTATCTTGTTTTTTGACAGATTTGAAAATACCTTAATATAGGTAGTGTTTCTTTGGTTATCAAGCAAGTCTTAGTTCTTTTTGCAAGCAGTGAATATTAGTGTTTTCAGACAAGGTTTGAGTTATTAGACTCTTTGCAGACACAACTACACAAAAGTACCTATCATGTAGATTTTTGAGTGTGACTTGGACATCTTAGTAAAAAAAAATACAGAATTGTACTTTGTTTTCATTTCATGCAGCTTATTCATATTTGAATAACTTGACCCACTCTGAAAGTGAACCAACTCAGCATGCTCACATTCTGCCCATTGCCTTGTGTCGTCTTTACAGAATACATCATTATCTTGAAATTTTCATGTCAATGTATTCCGTCCTTGCGTATTGCAGAGTTATCTTCTCTTGTGAGCAGGTATTGATTGTTACTTCATTGGTTTGTGTGAGAAAATTACGTCGTTTTCTCAAAAATTAATGACGTTGCTCTCACAAACAAATGACGTAACAACCAATACCTGCTCACAAGAGCAGATAACTCTGCAATACGAAAAGACGGAATAGTTTAGGTTTGGTTTGGTTTTATTTTGTTTAACGTCCTATTTACAGCTAAGATCATTTAAGGATGTGTCGATGTAATGTAGGAGTCTCTCGATACTGTGGTAAACTCTCCTAGCTTTGCATTATGGCTAATATTTAAATCGGCAGTAACTTAACATTCCTTACAAAGACGTAGCAAAATTCAACAATATTTAATTGTTGGCCTTTTTGACAGAGCAAGAAATCGTTATTTTTTTCTGTAATACAAGCATTTATATTGAAAAATAGTTAGTCATCTTATTTTTTCCTTCTAGGACATGGCTATTTTTAAAACAAAGTACTTACATAGGTTGAGACCATTTTCACATTATGTACAATTTCGATTATTCAAAGATTTATTTCTAACATTATAATACTTTATCTCAAATTCCCATTACCATGCATATGTTATAATTCCGAGACCCAAACTTTGACACAGGAACATTAACATGTACGTACATGTGTCATTGCAAATTCAATTGTTTCCTGCCACACATGTATTACAACAACTATATAGAATTGTCACTTTTGGAAACTTCACGTAATTCGTATGCTTTCATTAGAATTGTATTGCCACTAGTCTAGGGATACAAATGTAGGCATTAAAAGGGATGCCGAAGTACCAGAACAAGTCACTAACCGGCTATTTTCTCATCATTTCCCATTCATCTATTAATGTACATAGGGACACAATAA